CATTGACAATGAATACATGGCAGACTGCCAAATTTTTGTTTTTAGTGTATGTTGTATTGAGAATCCGAGCCCGTGGTTCCATTTGTCTAGCCACGTGGATCGAAATTTTCTATTCATTTGCCCACATCTGGCTTCGTTTCACTTTTGGAGGCTTCGGTTAATTAAGTTTGTTGGATAATTTTAAAAATAATTAAGAAAATAAGACAACTTGTTTTGGATAAGACTAAAGGAATAAAATAAAATAAAGGGTAGCCCGATTGGCCCATCTGTCATGTGCACGCAGGGAATGCTTGCGCATAGCCAATGCATCGACGCCGCCGCCTCTTCCTAGGTTTTTTGTCTTCATCTGCCACCACCGTATTCCTCGCTACCGTCGTGCAGTCCAGATAATACTGGAGTCGGACGCCTACAACCACTGTCCAAGGGAAGCCAACCGTTCTTGTCCTCGGCCCCGATCTGTTGATGCAGAGGTACAGGAATTTACTCTATAGCGGCACTGTTCATCGGTAGGCATAGCATGCTAGTATGGAGTACTATGGAGGGGTGTTATATGAGCTCCTCCTATTTGGAATAGGTCTCCTCATTAATATATTGTACTGGGAAAATTGATAGAGATGCTTAACATATCTAATGATGTGATGTACTTGCGTGTATCTAATGATGTGATGTACTTGCATTATTCAACAATGCAACCTCCAACCACACGAGTTGGAGATATTATTATATTTCGCCATTATTCTATTCATTTATTTTGTTTTTGCTAAAACTGGATTTGATCTATTACAAAGGCCGTGCATATTGCTGGAACATATGCCTTGATTTTTGTCTAGCATGTCACTACCTATGTGGTGTATGCTGTAAGTGCGCATAGAGGGCCATTCACCCTACAAGGAACTTCCGAGTGAGGAGTTTGCGCTAAGGCACACCCTTTATTTTATCCCTTGACATTTTTCACCATGTCAACGCAAATATTTCATCAACCAAAATACATAGTGGACCAGTTTCCCTCCTAGTATAACACATAATTTTGTAGAAAAAAATTAAAACTATGGGAAAATCTGGAAAACTATTCATCTACAACTCACAAGCTCCCCTATGTCCTAAGATGTAAGAAAGAACAATAAAAAAATGCAACACAAAAAACAAGAATTGGATCCAAAGTTTTCATCCCCTCTCTCCCTCACTTCCCCATCTTAAAAATTCAGGATGGAAAAGGGTGATGCATGACAATCCCTTTCAAAATACCAATTCATTTAATATTCCATGATCAGAACTAGACTTGCCTCATATAATGTTAATTGCTACCTTGACTTAATTATGGAACCTAATTTTGAATCTATGGATCCTATTGCGAGGGAAAACGTACAAAGTCCATGTAGTAAAACAAACCGAAGAGATCAGTGATTTGTTTCCACTCTGAAAAGAAATCGGAATCATGAAAAACATACCCAAGAGGGATGACACACAAAATGGTTAGGTGTCGTCTATGAAAATTTTCATATGAACATAGCACTTAAGTATGATCTACTAAGGGAATGATATTTTAGGGACTAGTGTGACAAACCGTACTCGGTAGAAAAGCAAATACATGCATACATTTGAGGTGGATAAGGTGGTAAAAGCTGTATATGCACACATATTAGGTGTGTGTGTGTTGCAGGGGTGGGTTATAATAACTATGAAATTCTATAGACATTGACAATGAATACATCGTGAACCGCCAAATTTAGCTTCTTGAGTGTACATTATATTTGGAATCATAGCATGTGGTTGCATTTGTCTAACCACATAGATCAAAATTATCTATTCATTTGCCAGACCTGGCTTGGGGTGAATTTTGGAGACTTTTTTTAATTAACATTGTTGGATAATTTCGAAATAATTTTAAAAAATAAGACAGCATGTTTTAGATAAGGCGAAAGGAAGAAAAGAAAATAAGAGGGTAGCCTTGTTGGTTTGTCTATCTTGTGCACGCATGGAACACTTGCGTATAGACAACGCATCGACACCGGCGCCTCCGCCTCGGTTTTTCTTCTTCCGCCACCACGGTTTCCCTTGCCACAGTATGTAGGTCAAACAACATAGGAGTCTAGCCGCCAATAGCAGCTGTCCAAGGGAAGCTAGCCATTCTCATCCTCGGCCTTGGTTTGCTGCTGCAGAGGTACGAGAATTTACTTTGTAGTGGCTCTATTCACCAGTAGCCATAGCCATGTTAGTACGGTGTCCCATGGAGGGGTATTTCATGAGCTACTCCTCTTTGCAATATGTCTCCTAATTAATATATTGTACTTGCAAAATTGATAGAGATGCTCAAGATATCTAATCATGTGATGTACTTGCTTGTATCTAATGATGT